ACTCTATGTACTTGACTCCACGCACTGCCATCTAAGACTTTATACACTCGACCCCGTGACGTTACATAGCTCCAATTACATAGCTCCAAAACTCATGGCTAATGATGCTTTCGGGCCACTCGTCTTCTAGTCTGAGTTTCAACCGCAGACAAACAGCAAGAATAATCGCAGACCGGGAACAACATGAACAACAACATCAGTATGAAGACCAGACCAAACAACTCATTAACTGGGTAAGAGCAGAGCTTGGTAAGACAGTGAAGAGAAACAGTGCTCTAGATAATATGGCCATCATGAAAGTTGGGGCCTTGCATAGCTTGTTCCCACACGGATGATGGTTCTTCCAGGGAGGTTATTACAACTTTCGTGTCTTCGGAAAGTTGAGGACGGGAACCACAAAGATAGGTTCCGACTCGAACATATTCAGGGTTCAGTCAAACTGCCCTGACTTCTTACCTGTGCTGGGAATTCGGAGGAAAACTCTACAACCTGAGCATCGCTGGTTATGCCGGTACGGCTATGGCTTGGGGCTGTGCTATCCGTTCGATTGCCCGTGCGAAGGGAAGTCACCATCATGAACATCGCTATCTCCATCGGGACTCAGCGTATCTAGCCTAAGCGAACTCGAACACCATATGTGCGTTCAAGAACGAGTGGCCTCCACGTTGCAAGGTTTAGAGTCTAGAGCTTAGGTCCTAGGTCCTAGGTGTCGGATATAATTTGAATCCCCGATCATTCGCATTTTCGGAAGATGATATTATGGCGAGAGAGAAGCCAATCAGGCTTGCAGCATGTTGGCGAATGGGCTGTAGAGTTCGAGTGAAATTTGCCGAGGCATTCGGACCCAGTACCGCGAAACCCCAAACACGAGACACAGAAAGTGCTGGAACCATAGACCCTAAACCCCCAAAGCACTAACGCTAGAGCCTACATTTCCTACATCCCTATAAGAGGCTTGAGTTCATGCTGCCAGGTGGCACAAAAAAGGCCACAGGGCGCCCAAAATGCAATCCCCAACATAAAGGAGTCCTTCTGCAGATTTGGGCAGCTGTTTCAAGCAGGGTCCCTTTTACGGTCGTTTGTTATAAGGGTGCCGTACTATTTTGGGGACCTAAAAAAGGGCGTCTGATTCAAAGAACTTGCAGGGTTTGTAGGTTCGTTCTTCGGGGGATGGGTTCCGTCTTCAGATCTGGCCTAAACCCTCTAAACCCTAAACCACCCTAAACCCTAAACCGTGGCTTATGGTTTCGAACTGAGGGTCGAACCGCTCGGAACACACTACCATTGCCTTGCAGGGTTTGCCGCCGACGCAGGACGAGAGAGGGTACGCATATTCCAGGCCAACTTAGTCTAGGCCTTGTGGAAAAATCAAACAAGGGCTCGGGATTGCCCAAATTTGGTTCTTACTGTGCTCGAATCCGACCTTGAGTAGCGGGAGGGGTGTCAAACCCTCAACGGACCGCAGACAAGTATTCCGCTCAACACTGAAATTGTCCTTGTCCATGAGTTTTGCAAAACGTTGCTATGATTTGTCGCAATAATCTGCGTAATCTCAGCCGTCGACCCAATCCTGTGCATTCCTTCTACTGTTGGGGAGGGCCATTGAACCCAACCTCGACCCCGGATGAAGATTCAGCCAAGCAAACCATCCCAAAGCCAAACCCCCAGACACAGTCCCGAAATGACGGAAAAAAACCTATCCTGGCTACCTTCCTGAATCAGGTTCAAGAAACCCTAAGACCCTAAACCTCTAACCCCTGAACCCTTAAGCCCTAAACCCCTAATCCCCTAAACCCTAGACTCAAAAAATCCTCAGGCCCCTAAACCCTAAACCCTAAACCCTCAGCCCAGCTTGTTCTGTAGGCCGTGGCTCCCGTCGTCCAAGACGTCTCACCCAGCTCGAGACCAAAGCCGGCCCAAGGCCTGCTAAGAGGGTTTAGGGTTTAGGGTTGGGGGTTGAGGGTTTAGGGTTTAGGGTTGAGGGTTTAGGGGTTAGGGGTTAGGGGCTTAGGGGTTTCGGGGTTAGGGTTTAAGTGTTTAGATAGGGTTTAGGGTTTAGTGGGGAGGGTTTAGGAGTTAGGGGCTTAGGGTTTAGGGTTTATGGGTTTAGGGGTTATGGGTTTGGGGGTTTAGGGCTTAGGGGTTTAGGGTTTAGGGTTTAGAGGTGCAGGGGTTTAGGGGTATAGGGTCTAAAATTACGGGGCCCCTAGATTAGTAGGACCCAGCTGGGCTTGGTTTAGGGTTACTGCTAGGGTTTAGGATATATCATCATGCTGTTCCAGGGGTGTGGGGTTTAGGGTTTCTTATGGGTTCTATTCGGTTTTCAATTCTATCAAAGTTTTTTGAAGGCTATCTGAGGATTCTGGAGTGGTTCTGGAAGGATTGTCAAAATAGGTTCTGGGCCCTGAAGTGTCTGTTTCAAGGTAGTCCACTCTCTGGCCGGGACCCTAAAGTCAGACCCCAGTAAACAACAAGAAGGTACTACAAGGGTTAACAATTGTAGGGTTTAGAGAACTTTACAAGGAGGGGTTCGCGAGACTGTTGGGTCTAATCAAACGACGTCCCTTCGTGAATCCGACGTCTGGCAAGGTTGCGGCTGAAGCGGTAGACAAATTCGATCCCCAAGGTGCCAATACCTTTGGCCTTCAACACCTCAAATGACATGCTGATTCCAGTGAAACCCTGCACCCGAAAGTCCTACTACGTTTCGGGGGTAAGCTTTAAAGCCTTGTTGCGAGGTGTTGGAAAGGCTTTTCACCCTACACCCCAGAGCCTTTGCCGAGGTCGTCCATAATGTTGTAGACCTGGCCGTTCAGAGTATCGGGTATTTCCAGATTCAGAGAACAATAATCTATATTTCTGTTTTGTTTACAGGCTTAGGTATTTCTCTGATGACGGCTCGGGTTCCAGGGAGTTGGCTAGCAGTACAGTTCTTTCGTAGCCAGCAGGCGAACAGACACGTCGTCAGTGACAAAATGTCAAGTCAAAAGTAAAAGCGGTTACCAGTGTTGCGCCAAAGAACGCCGAACACAGTGCCGCGAGACCTCGTGGCCACCGTATTCAGAAGCACGGCTTTCGCGTTGCTCCCTGCAATCGGCGCCATGAGTCCACCGGCGAGCGCCAGAATGTAGAAAAGCACCGGGTGCCCCCAGGAACCGGCAGAGGAAAACAGGAACAGAAACCTGCATCTAGTCACAATCTCTGACAACATGCCATCATAAAGACAAGAAGTCGTGGTATAGCACTAGTTTAGACCAAAAAGCCCGAAGACTGACCACATTTCTGCTGGATATCACCTATACTATAGACCCCAAACTCTTATCCTAAACGCGCAAACCCGGCAGTTGACACCATAGAAGCGCTACTCAAAACAAGAACACTTCTGCCACCCTACCGTATGCTTCCAAGGACCTTACACTTAGGGCCCTAGACCCCTTAAGTATAAAGCAAACACATCCTAAACCCCAACCCTAAACCCTAAACCCCGAAAGCCCTTATCAGCCGGGAGGCGGTAGCATCCCGCCCCAGACGGTGAGTCCCATGAGCCAGGCTTGCAGCCGTTTATCTCTTCTGTACAAATGCCTAGGCTTTGGGGATTTTTGGCTTTAGGGTTCAGGTTTAGGGTTTAGGGTACAGATGCCTGGTTCTAGGGGTGTTAGGGTATATTGTCGAGGTTTAGGGTTTAGGGTTTCGGGTGCATATAGTGGGCTTTGGGTTTAGGGTCGGGTTGTCCGGGTCAGGATATGGGTTGAGCGGCTACAGCTCCCAGGCTTTCGACTTAGCTGCGGTTTAGTGTTCAGGGTTTAGGGGCCTAGGGCTTAGGGGCTGAGGGTTTAAGGGTTTACCCTAAGGGTCCATGTACTCACATAGTATATACATTGGCCCAAAAGTACCTATAGGGACTACTTTAAGGCCAAAGTATCTACTATTTGGGTACATGGACCCTCAAACCCTATAGAACCCTAGAGACCCCTTAAAGGACTCCTTAAAGGAACCCTTAAAGGAACCCTATTTGGGTACATGGACCCTCAGGGTTGAATGGCTTAGGGTTCTCAATGCGCAGGCTGGGGGTTCCACGGGTGTGCATGCCTGAAAGAAGTATTGGCGTCAGGATCCGGGTCAACTTTAGGGTTTAGGGTCTAGGGTTTAGTGTCAAGGGTTTAGGGTGAAGGGTTTAGGGTTTAGGGTCTAGGGTCTAGAGTTTAGAGTTTAGGGCTTAGGGTTCAGGGTTTAGTCAACCCTAAACCCGAAACCATTTTGTAAGCTTGAACCCGAAACCGAGGGGCAAGCTGAGGACAGGATGGGGGGTTCTTGCCATGTTGGGGCTGTACGCTGTTGCGCTTAATAAAATACGATGGCAGTCAACAAAATCCTCAACCCTAAACCCTAAACCCTCAAAACTAAACCCTAAACCCCTAAACCCTAAACCCTAAACCCTCAACCCTAAACCCTAGAGCCCGAGAGGTTCCCTAAGTTGGAGGGCTTTTGCATTCGGAGTTTTATGTAGAGCCTAGGACATCTCGTCCCGGCAGAGTGCTTGGGATTGAGTGCTAGGGTACAGGATATGGTTTAGGTTTATAAGCTTTACAGTTACAGATTGGCTTTCTCAGTTCTTGGTGGGTGTACAGCGCTGATTCAACCTGTGCCTCAGCAAGGATGAACGAAAGGGATCCGACTTTTATAATGCTCACGGAAGGCCGGAATCAGACCGGCATCTACAGTACTACATCCCTGAACAGCCTCCTACCTCCGGACTGCAGCAGAAAAAAACTTGTCATCCGGATTTTGGTGGGTCTCTGCGCAATGTGTACGCTCAGGGAGTCAGGAGCCCTCAGGAGCAACCTTGTCGATAAAAAGTAACTCAGGCGCTTCTATTGAGAGTTTCCGAAAATAAGGGGTACCTTATTTTGGGATCCTTATAATAAGGATCCTATTGTTTAGGGTACTATAAATTAGGGCCCCCTATTTTCGGAAACCCCCATATGGAAGGCTTCATCCTGCAGCCGAGGCGCTGTCCCAACTTCCCTCCAATCGCAGTGCCGGTGAAGCAGCCCACACCAAAGCTAAAAAGGACCGTTGTGGCCCCGGGAACGCCCATGTTCCTCGAAGAGTTTAGGTTTTAGGGTTTAGGGGAAGGGCTTCCCTAAACCCTAAACCCTAAACCCTAAACCCTAAACCTTAAACCCTAAATCCTAAACCCTGAAAGCCCAAAGGCAATGGGATGGAGAGCCTGGTGCTTACAAGCCCCAAAGGCGCAGCGTAATATGTGGCAGGCAACGGTGCTCATGTAACATCATATGGGTGGTTGTCAAAATTAGGGTCCATTTTTGGGTACCCTAAATATTAGGTGCCGTATTATAATAAGGACCCAAAAAGGGACCATAATTTTGACAACCACCCATATAATCATAGCACTGCAGAGGGTTCGATTCTGGCGAAGGCTTGCGGAGGATAACAAAAGATAGAGGCATTACAAGGAGAGAGCACCGAAGCCAAAGGGGGCCCGATGTTTCGAGGTGGCTCCAACCGATATGCCATATCTTGGCCCCTTGCAAAACGAGAAATACACGACCTTAAACTTCTACTACCGACGTGTTGAAATACTTTGATTTTACACCCATATGTTGTTCAATAGACTTCATAAGGGGCCCTTCTGAAAATTCAACAACGTGGAGCGGGTTGTGGTAGTTCAAGGTATTGTATGGTAAGATCCGAAAGGGGAGGGGGGCAATACATAGTGCAATTTTGCATAGAAAGCCCAAGGGCTCCAGGTACCTAAATAGTAGGTTACTAACCCTATATTATGTACCCCAGTAACCTACTATTTAAGTAGCTGGAGCCCTAGGGAAAATTTTATAAGGCTTGCTAAGGGTCAGCCAGCCTGAAGGGCCACAAAGATAAGACTGGCTCCCAGGCTTTACTGTACCCTAAGGGTCCATGTGCACGGTTTAGGGTTTAGGGTTTAGGGTTTAAGGTTCTGCGTGTGGTAACTGTTTACTCTGCGTCGACAGCTACAACACTTGTGGAAGCA